ATTAAAATATAAAATATCTTGTAAACCATTCAATTTTGGCCATCCTAGTCTTATAACTTTTTGCGACAAATATTACAAGAAATCGATTTATATAAAAAATTAGTGTCCTTCCATTTAAAAAATAAAATAATCTTTAAATCTCAGAAGCGCCTCCATCCAAGGTCAAACTAATATCCCTATATTTTTCCCTCTCCAAACCCTACAACTTTTATTTGAAAAATTTTTTATTTAACTCGGTATTTCTCAGATATTTGAGTGGATCGTTTAAAACGGAACCTTGTATTTCTCATTACTCTTGATAGCATTGCAGGCATAATAAATATAAAATATATTTTGTATTTATAGAAAATTATAAAGTAAGTAATTTTCCCAATTCGCCAATATACGCGCAACGCGCAAAAGTACAAGTACAGTGAGTATACAAAATACAGTAAGTATACATATAGTAACGAAATGGTAGTTTTCAGATCGTTTAGTTTTCAAAAAAAGACCAAAATTATTAATGTTTTTTAAATTATCACCTTGATAGAGATTTGATTATCTTAAACAAAAAATAATTTTTGTAATTTTTCAAAACAAAATTCAACTCCGACGAATTCTGCTCGTTCATTTAAACAAACGATTTTGTTCCGCAGATTGGAAAGAATTGATGTTCCAAGTTAAAGTTGTATATATCATGTTATTCCAATAGCCTGACATGCTGACAATCAAACATAAAGCAAAACATGTAAAACATGTAAGAGCTTTGTAAGGATTCCCTAGTAGCACAACTCTATTGGCGCAATATTGGCTATAAATTGGCTATATTGGGTATAAATTAATTTTCCATATTGGTTTAATATTGTAAAGTAGACGCTCTCTCATTTTCAACCAATATTGAATTCTAATATTGGACCAATATATTAATTTCATTTTTAACCAAGATTGGTTAATAATACATATCCAATTTTTTTATATTGAATATAGATCTGACTTTCAATCATGTAACTATTCTCCTATAGGGTGGAAAGATGAAAAGTGAAAACTTTTACGAAAATTCGACAATTCTATTCATTAAATCACGTAAAACTTTTCACTTATTATGTTTCCGTTATAGAAGAAAAGTTACATAATTGAAAGCCAGTTAATAGTTTATAGTTACAAAAAGTTTATATATGGTTTAATTTTTATTTTTAATTTTTATTGAAAACTTGTTTTTTTTTACAAAGTTTAAACATGTACGAAAATAATATAATATTATATATTAACATATAATAATAAAGTTTTATAGAGTTAAAAATTTAAAGTTATAGTTAAAGTTTTAACAATATAAAGAATTTGAAAAAAATATAATAACTAATTGATATAGTTACTCTTTGGTATAGTTACTGAAATAAAAAATTTTTTAATTTGTGGATTTTGCTCTCTCTTTTCTTCCTCCTTCTCTGTCCCCACTCTCTGCAAGAAACTTCGAAATTTTTTGAAGAATTTCACTTCTTGATGCGTCTTGTAATTTTTTCGAAACAATCTCTAAAAACAAAAAATATAAATAAGTTTATTACTAAACTGTACGTACAAATTTTTGATTCCAAACTTATTTCTTAATTGTTAATCTTATTTGTTATTATAATCTTATTTGTTAATATAAGAAATCTATATGCTTTGTATTAGATATTCAGAATGAAAAAAATATAATTCTTAAAATTTAAAATTATATCAATTATATCAATGTATTTATATATATATATAAACATATATAGAGCGATATATGTCGACATATTACTATAAATTTCAGTAAAAAAATAGAAAAGTATATGTTTCATATGTATTGCATTTTTTATGTAAAATTAAAAAAAATTTTTTTCAATTTTGTTAGTATTTTTATATAAATTTTTAGAAATATTTTTATTAATTAAAAAAAACTTACCAAATACTGCAGCAGCAACTTTGGTTGCAGAAAAGTCACGCTTTTTTTGTTTACCGCAACCACTAAAGTGTATTGAAACAGTCTTCTTCATAAGCAACTTCATTACTGATGG